AAGAGTTTATAGTGGATCCCTCTTTTCTTCTTGCATCACAATGGGAACTAAAACAAAATGCAAGCAGAGCATTTCTTATTTAATAACCCAGCTGGATTAGGCAAAAGATCATCCAGTTCAAGATTCTGTGCCATACTTTGGCCAATGGGATCCAGTTTCGATACTCACAAGCCTGGGTGGTGGATGACAGTTGCTTCTTAGTAACCAACATTTAATTCATGTTGCCCATGATTCAGTAGGTGTAAATGGTCATCAGTATCAGGAAGGATCGATATATTCTCTTCTATGAAATTGCCTACTCCTTTTTAAAACTGTCCAATAGCTGCCATTAATACAATAGTTGGCAACAGCCATTGCAGTTTAACTATGTGTTGTGTACAAAGGCATTTTCTTCTCTCAGTACTGAATCTTCCTATATTTAGTTTCATTGGATGACCTCAGGTTTTAATATGGTGAGGAGAAAACATTGGTCTATCCATACCATCTATATTATGCATCGTTTATATACTCCATGTTTCTTTTTATTCTCCTTCATTTCAAATGACAGAGCCACAATCAGAATAGTCTTTCCTCACAGGAAAATAATTGTGATTTCCTTTTTTTCATACGTTTCCCAATTTTGTCATTCACTCATTTTTGTGCACTTAAGTCAGTCCTGCTTTTTGGCAATTGCCTGGGCAAGTCCTTGAGATTTTTTAAAAAAATATTTACCATGGTGGTCATCCTAGAGTTTAGAAAGAAGCTAAAGTCACCTAAATTAGCTTTGTGCCTAAGGCAGAACTCATGCTTTTCCAGTTTCTAGCCTAGTGCCTTTACTCCTTTACCAAACTGAGTCTCTAATGTTGTAATATCTGTTTTTTCCTCCAGAAATGTTCACAACACTGAACTGTACAAGGGAGGGAGGAGGTAGTGGTGAAATCTAAAATTTGTTACTACCGGTTCTGTGGGCGTGGCTTGGGGGGTAATGTGACTGGATGGGCGTGGCCTTTTTTTTTTTTACTTTTAAAACCATTTTTTCTACAACCTCTTCGCCAAAGAGGTTGTAAAAAAATGCTTTCAAAAGGCTCTGACGATCAGGCAACTCGGCTTGGATCGTCAGAGGCATTTAATAAAAAAAAAGGGTTTTTTTCTTTTAAAAGCCTTTGACGATCCCAGCTGAGCCGCGCGATCATCAGAGGCTTTTTTTTTAACTTTTAAAAGCATTTTTTCGGCTTAAGAGGTTGTAGAAAAAATGCTTTTAAAAGTAAAAAAAAAGCCTCTGATGATTGTGCGGCTCAGCTGGGCATGGGGGGATGGGGGCAGGGGTTTTTGCTACCAGTTCTCCGAACCACCCGCCTCCATCGCTACCGGATCGGGTGATCCGGCCCGAACCAGGAGCATTTCACCCCGGGAGGAGGCTTTTTAATAGTTCTAAATATCAAAGCACTCAGAAAATAACCAACACATATCTAGACCTCTGCTTTCTCTGCTTTCCTTTTTAAAAGGCTTGTAATAGGGATGCAAAAAAGACAATAGAACTTTCAATAGAACTAGATAATTAAGATAAACATAAATTCCTTTATGCCTAATATTCCTTCTCACCTGTTTTACCTCTAACCTGCAGTATTTTCTTTTCTCCAATTATCAGCTATCCTCTCAGCAAATTACTGGAGTCCAACTTACATATATGGCCCTGGGAGACCTCCAAGAGCAGTGAAACACAAACAGGTATCTTCCACTATAACTGGTCCCTGAATCTGTTAAAGAAAAATAATAATAAAACAACAAAAGAACAATGAAAACCTAAATTAATTTTTTGAAGTAGTTCCACATATTGTAAATAAAGCTTTTTAAAAATTTTAGGCAACTTCTATCCCAAGTTAATCTCTGACAGGAATAATATAATTTAAAGATTTGTTGCAGAAACCACTTTTAGGAATGTATATAATGTAGATGCCAAATGGATATAAACAGAATGGCCTCATAGTTGGAGCTCAGCATTTTTAAAGATGACTGTGACAAAATGTAATCAGAGGTAACACAATGTCCAGTGTTCCAATATTTGCCACAAAAATGAGCGGGTCATCCTATTTTCTAAAACACTAAAGGCAAGACAGGAAACAATGGATGAAAACTAATCAAGAAGAGAAATAACCTAGAACTAAGGAGAAATTTACTTACAGTTAGAACAATTAACCAGTGGAACAGCTTGCATTCAGAAGTTGTGGATGCTCCATCACTGGAGGCTTGTCTGGAATGGTATAGGGCCATGATGGTGTACCTATGGCATGCGTGCCACTGCACCTGGAGCCCTCTCTGTGGGCACGCAAGCCATTGCCCAGCTCAGCTCCATCGCGCATGCGTGCGTGCCTCCTGCCAGCCAGCTGATTTTTTGGTCTCTGGCACAGGGCGCATGCGGGAGATGCGTGTGTAGTCGCACGTGCATGCATGGGGGGAGCAGCGCCCCCTCCTGTCCCCAAATGTTTTTTGTCCCAAGAGGTTTCAGGGAGGCCTGCCAGGCCCAAAATGGGCCACCAGGGTTGTGTGGAATACCCCCCCCCCATGGCCCGTTTTTGGTCCCAGGAGGCTTCAGGGAGGCCTACTAGGCCCAAAATGGGCCACAGGGGGTCGCACGCACATGTGCCGGGTGGGGGGAGGTCGCGCGTGCATGTGGAGGGGAGCGTGTGCGTGCATGGGGGAAAGTCAGCGTGCATGCGCGGGGAGGCAGGGCATGCAGGGGGCACTGCATTATGGGTGTGGGCACACGCGCGCACGACCCCCAATGCTGCCCCCGCTTTTGGCACATGACGGCAAAAAGGTTAGTCATCACTGGTATAGGTCTCCTGCTTGAACAGGGGATTGGAATAGGAGACCTCCAAGATCCTTTCCAACTCTGTTCTCTTAGCAGCAAGAGAAATTGCAGATTAATCAGCTACATGGGATTCATAATTATATGTAACTGAAATTTTTCTACTATTTTTCAAGTGTTACAATTGCCCTAAATTGAAACATGCAATTGAGTCATTGGAGTTAAGAGTTACTAAATATAATTCTTATTATAAATATAAATATAAATATAAAATGCATGATAGTCTGCTGATTTCTTGTAGATGTTTTTTAAAAAAATATGGACAATAAAAAGAGGAGACATTAGCAGAATATGCACAAGTCAAAAACAGTATAATATAAAGAGTTCATATTGTACTTTTTTGACCCTAGCCAAACATTAAACATTCTTTCTGGAGTCAAAACGGCTTGTACGTCTCAATGGAATATACAGCAAAATTTATCTGAGCATAAATTATAAAATTTTCCTGGGTTTCTTGGTGCCTTACATAATGAGCTAACTAAAGGAATATTTCAACCTGCTTAGCTGCTTCCAGGCACTTCTGGGTAGAAATATCATCAGGCTCCCCTTGGTACTCAGGTACTACAAAATTTTAAAGAAAAGTAAGGTTAGTGGTGATCAGTAGTTTGCTAAGGTACCAGACAAATGGAAACATGAACTCACGGTCTATTTTCTTTGCAACCAATTTGTATGGAAAGGAGTCACCTAGAATCTGAATCACCTGCAAGATAAAGAGAAGTAGTTAGTTTTGAATACTAATAAGCTTTCACAAGTTACATCTCTTAGCCCATATCTTGGACAATGTAGCAGTGCCTTTATTATGAACTATGTTACTCTGAGAAGCCCAAATGCCACATTCTCTTTTCATATTTCAGAAAATTGTTAAAAACTTCCTACTTCATCAAGGATTCATCTACACTGATTGTGGGCACTCTTCTATGCATGTGGTGGTTTTTCTACTTTGCTTTTATTTTCTTCTACGCCGCCAAGAGTTATTGTTACAAGTATAGGATAAAGACATTTTCTTCTGGGGAGGTATTTCTGGACAGGAGTGGTGCGATGGCCTAGAGGTGGAGCTCTCACCTCACAATCAGGAGGCTGTGAGTTCAATCCTAGAGGCAGATATTTGTCTCTCTGGGCACACTGAGAATATATCTACTGAACAAACTCTGCATTGGTGACAGGAAGGGCATCCGGCCATTAAAACAGCTAGCTCCATTCAGTTGTCCAGATTCCACCCTGCAAGGGATTATGGGGTCGTTAAATGAAGATGATGGTATTTCTGGACTGACAGTTCCTAGTGACATCAATCAAAAAAGTTTTCCTACTGGATTATTTTCTGGATTTAAACGTATAAAAGTGGGGAAACACAACAGTGCTACAAATTGAAAATACTAATGGCTAAATCTATATAACGGATGGCTTAGACTTATAACATCATTACTTTCCACCTGTGTTTGCTAGGATTGCAAATATTCAGACAACACTAAACCGGTAATAAAGAGGTACAGAAGTCTTGGTTGTCCAGACTTTTGTAACTCAGAATAGGTAATCCAAGCATTGCAGAATTTTGTTTTAGCGCTGAAGCAATCAATAACGCCAATTCTCATAAATAGAACTCATGTTCTACATGAGATACATAGAAATCCCAACTCTTGCAAGGGCTGGCCCGTTTATTCGTTAGCGAAGAACAGCTTTTCTCAATCTCGGCCATTTAAGATGTGTGAACTCCAACTCCCAGAATTCCCCACAACGCTGCCTGGGAAATTTTGGGAGCTGAAGTTCACACATCTTAACGTTGCTGAGATTGAGAATCGCTGCCCTATAAGTATCAAGTTTACTATTCGCAGCAACAGAAAAACAGCTAAACACTAGCCAGTGCCATCACCCATGCGCTTTGTAAACGACGGCAGAAACCCACCTCCTCCAGTTTCTTAACATTGCCGGTGACAAACACCACGCTCCGGCCGGCCGCCGGTATCATCGCCATCGTGCTCTTGACGCCTGCGCAGTTAACGTAAACAATCAGAAATCCTCAAGGTCCCCCTGCGCAGCCTTTCACTCCGAAGACAAGCAAGCAAGCAAGCTTTGACGGTATACGATGAATGACGCTAAAGAAGGGAGGAACCTATTGCAAACCCATTGGACGTAAAAAGCCAAGATGGAAGCCTTGGCCAACCAATGAGCTTTGAACGTAGAGGAAGGACTCGGAGAGGAACAAAAAAAGTGGGCGGATGAAGACTCCGAGGGCACTTCCGGCTTGGGTTGTCTCCCCTCCCTCCCGGCTTCTGGGATCGCCTTCTCGTGGCTTTAGCCATGGAGGCGTTGCGGTTGCTGCCGAGAGACGCTCGAGACTTCGCTTCGTCGGAGTATTGGGACCGATTCTTTCGGAAGCGAGGCGAGCGCGCCTTTGAGTGGTACGGGGAGTGGTCAGGACTCGGACCGACTTTGGGGCGGTATCTGCGCCTGCGGGACTCGGTGAGACGAGATAAACCGGAGGAGAAAAACAAAAGTTAGGGGAAAGGAGAGCACGTGGGCAGGGCATAAACTTTATTCGGTGGAGGCATTTCTTGGCTCCGGAGGAGTTTTCATTACGAGAGATCAGACAAACCAACTTTCGGAGCGACATTCGAGTCACTTAAATATAAATTAGCCAGCCTGTTTTATGTCTCTGGCTGCTTTAATCTCTTGGATAACTGCAGTCTTCACAGAAAAGATATTATTTCTTCTCCATCCACCTCAGTCGTTACACCTATGTAGACTAAAATAATAAAGGGTTAAAAATAACCTTTTGCCTTATGTCTTTTAAGTTATAAGCCAAGGGGTAGGCTGAGTTTTTTTATTCATCATGTAGGAAGTCAGGAAGTCTTTTAGTTGAAATATAAAATTGCTTCAAATGTCTTACTTGATCTACAGTATGTGATCTATACGTACAATTGATTTAGTGTAATATAATATAAATATCCTTTTATTCCTGTTCCACTTTCTGCATATGTGGATAAGACATTATGGGTGCTAACTTCTTTCTCAGCCCTACTTTAAGCTTTTAAAATTAAATTTTAAAATTTTAAAGTATGGATTTTGCAAGGACTCTAAAGAGAGCTTTCATTTTGATATGTTAGGGTGTAAACTTCCAACTTTTTCCAAATTGACCTTACTAAGATTATATTTCTCTTCATTAGTTTCATGGCCTTTATTTTAAAATATCTAGTGAAGTGTATACAAATTATCTAGGTTCTACTTTCATTTTAGTTTCAGTATGTTTTACTTACTTTGAGGGCCAGATGCTACAACTCTTTGTATAAGCTCCCTGAAAAACCCCTATGCTAAGGAATAATTTTGACATCCCTAAAAGGAACGTGACGTTTCTTCCATGCTTTTCCACTAGATTCTTGTTGTTGGCTGTGGTAATTCAGAACTAAGTGAGCATCTCTATGATGAAGGCTATCACGATATCATCAGTGTGGACATTAATGAGCGGGTTGTTAAGCAGATGCAGGAACGCAGCATGCAACTGAGACCCAAAATGACCTACATGGTAATGGATGTACTGCAAATGGATTTCCCTGATGAGCATTTCCAGGTGGTGTTTGATAAAGGCACTCTTGATGCTCTCCTGACTGATGGAGAAGAAACCACTCTGAAAAGAGCTGAAAGAATGTTTGCTGAAATTGGTCGTGTCTTGCAATTCGGGGGGCGTTACCTATGTGTCTCCTTGGCTCAGGCACATGTATTGAAGGCAGCTGTGGAATATTTCTCTCAGGAAGGTTGGATGGTTCGAGTACATCAAGTCCCTGGCCAGAAAACAGGCACCTCAGACCAGGAATTTGCTTTGCCTGTCTTTGTTTATGTTATGACAAAGATAAGACCAGTCCCTGGCTCAGTTTTATGTATTTTGGAGCTCTGTACTGAAGCACAAGAGAAACCTGCCCGGTTCAAGAACAGTGAGCATCTAATTGATGCAGTGAAGGAGAGACAACACTACTCTCTGCTGTGGAATCAACTCAATAAGAACTCTAATGTAGGGACCATCTCTCTGGATCTCTGCAGCAAAGACACTGGCCGAGCCCGGTATACTTTACATGTAGTGCATAACTCAAAGGTGAAAGTGTCACAGGACAAACAATTTGCCATCTTTATCAGTGAGTTAATGTGTTTCTTATTCAGCCCACTATATTGGAGATCAAATACAATTCAAACAACCCAAGATTCTATCTTTAGATTCTCTTCCTCAAACGTTGCTAATATTGTTGAGCAAATTTTGCAGTTTTTTTTCAGGTATACCGAAGAGCAGTATTTAGGAAGGTAGCAAAATCTATTCAAATATTTATGGGACTGGTGAGTTTGTCAGTGCTAATTTGCAAGTAGCCTTTAGGATTTTTTTTTCTCTATGAATTTACCTTCTTTCATCCCCAAAGAAGAAACTAGCAACTTTTGAATAGGTTCATATCAGAAAGTTCATATCAGACAGGAAAAAATAGTTAAAAATGATTAACATTCTGTATCATATTATTTTTGAGTATCAATTCATTTTCTGATGCTTGATATTCTAACTCACAAAATAGAAATTATCAAAATAATAATTGCTGCTGTTTCTAACAAATGATGATTTTTAAATATTTTTGCTTGCCCTTATTTTGATGGCTAAAATATTTTAATATTCCCAGCATTTGCTTATAAAACATCTTGAGTTGTGACCATACTTTCATCTTTCCAATATATGATTAATTGTGAATAATTGAATATAATATATATTGTTCTAAGAAAGTAGTGATCAAAGCTTTATATAAGGATAAATATTAAGAATCATGGTTAACAAAGTAAATTACCAATAAACTGTAACATGAGAACAGAAAATTTGTTCTGCTTTACATATCACATGAAATTGAAATATAGAATCTGTGCACTGAAAGGTCTATATTTTTGATGAGGCACAAATCCCTTGTGTTGCCTGATCCAGTACCACAGGGCAGAGAAACTGAGTGGCTCTTTGGGACGGAGGAGGGACGGAAGCAGTTGGCTGTGAGTGCAGGATTTTGGCGTCTGGTAACTGTGGCCTTACATAGAAATCAACACTATGACAACATGGGAGCCATCCAGGCAGAACTGTCAGAAAAAGTGATGGAACTGGCCCCCGCTGGGCTTCCAGCCCAGCAGCAGGTAGGTCCGTTTAGTCCTCTAATCTTCTCTAGCAGTGACCACTGAATACCTAGGGGAAGCCAATAAGCAGGATGAAATTATAGTAGTGCTTTCTTGCTGATACTTTTAGCAACTAATATTCAGAAGTTATGTGATTAAAAGCTCTAGGTATTTTTTTTTCCTCCTTGAATTTTTCAGTGATGATGTGATGGCTTCTTTGAGCAATGCTGTATGAATTTGAACACCTCTTTGTATAGCAGAAACAAAATTAATTTGTTCCATGATCTATCTTCTGCAGAAACAAAGGCTACTCAGGACCTCTTGGCTATTGCTGCTGCTAGAGGAGGGAGGAACAGCAATCAGCTGTCTTGGCCTAGTACTTAAACTTCAGTTTGTGTGTGATTGAAAATTACAGATACCTTAAACGTTTTAGGAAGTTTAGGTGATGAAGAGAACTTGATACTTAAAATAAAATTGGCATTGCCTTGTGCCTATAAGAATAGCAAAAACATAGTGTCAATTTTTTTTTTTTTTTTTGCCATCTCAGTATTGGTTCTAGCAAAGATTACCACAAATCTAAGATCCTAGAAAGTGGTGATCATAGTTCAGGTAGGCAGAGTATATGGTATTTATAATATGTTATAATATAATATTTATAATTTATATTCTGTTTCCCTGATCTTTAAAGAAACTCTGTGGGACAGTAGCATCATTAGATTGCCTTCTCTTGCAGGTGCCATTTCTGTCTGTGGATGGAGACATTGGGATCCGTACCATCCAGCATAGTGATACTAGTCCTTTTAGTGGGGAGTATGTTATTGAAGATGTCAAAGGAGGTGGTGCTTGCTATTTCCGTCGCCTCATCTTCCTCAACAACAGGAATATAGTGCAGTCAGAAGCAAGGCTTTCATCCAGGGTATCCCACAAAGGTGAAATTAAAGCTGTAGCTACCAACTATGGGCTGCTGTCCTTTAGAATGGGGTTGCAAGGAGGCCTAGTACAGGTGGGAGGCATGTACTGCACAGCCCCACTTTTCTCTCCAGCTTTCTGTGGATCAATTTAAGAAAATGGTAGAAAGAAGCGGGCTAATAAGGTAACACAAGCCGTAAGGCAATGTTTTGAATTATTAAGTACAATATGCATTGCTGTCCCTCCTATTTAGCACCTCATATTTTAAGATGTGGAAATCCTTATCAGTCTTCTCTACCAGATGAATTTATGGTCCTTTGAATGTTGTTCAGCTGTTAAGAATCCCTGACTACTACTTGTCTGTCAAGAGTTATAAATCAGCAACATCTGGGTGGACATTATCTATGTACAGCTATTTAGTGAACAAAAATGAATTCCGGCCTGCTTTGAAATTAATAAGTTGTTGAAAACAAAATGATTAGAATGGCTATTTTGGGAGAAAGAGATAGAATTCCAATCTTGACCCATTGTGGGGAAGTGTCCCTTTGGGGAGGGATGGAGTATTTTGAGTAGTTGTCTCCTATCCCAGATAATTTCAATAATTAAACTACCCCTCCCCCTTTTTATAGTTACGATAGTCCATACGGCTTGTCCATCTAAATTTGCTTTGTTTTCTTTGGCCAGGTAACAAGCAGAAGCCAAAGAAGAAGAAGAAAGTGGCCCCTAGGGACCATTTCAAACCTGATGCTGAAGCTGCCTGTCCGGCCATTGACAAAAGTTTCTTGTGTTGCGCTCACCACAGAGCTATGGTCGCAGGTCTGTGCTTGCTGAAAAACCCTGAAGGTCTTCCAAGTGAGTAGGAAGCCACAGAACCAATTGGCCAATGAATATTAAGTGAATTTATGTCAGGTCCCTGTCAGTCATAGTTAAATAGTAGCATTTTATTTATTTATTAGAGTTTTGTCCCAACTTCTTTTGTCTTTTACAAATAACTCAAGGTGGCGAACATACAAATGCTTCTTCCTCTTCCACCTGTTTTTCTTCACAATAAGAACCCTTTGACGTGGATTGGATTGAGTGAGAGGGACTGACTTAAATTACCCGGACAGCTTTCGTGCCTAAGGCATGGCTAGAACTCACAGTCTCCTGTCTCTCTATGAGGCATTTGTAAATAAGGTTATGCTTCTAGTCTCTTCCATCCATCCATTTATTAGCAGTAAAAATGGAGATTGAAGTAGGATTGTAAAGGCGCTGACATATGTAATGCATATCCATTGACTAGAATTCATTTGGCCAGATTAAATTGGATTGAGTTTCTGAGCAAATAGTAAAAAGAAAGAAAGAAAAAGCATGCAGACGCAAAGTTAAAGCTGCAGTAATTTGTTCAGCCCCCAGCCCCAAAGTGGTTCTGACCAAATGTGCAGCAAATAATCTTATTTTTTCATCCGAATGTTTTCTTATCCATCTGTGTTTAGGGCTGCTCTACATATAACCAAAACTTGTTCAGATCTGAACTCTGAACATCCACATGGTCATTAGGTGGCAGCAAAGACTTAAGAGTTTTCTGTATATCTTTCCTGCCATAACATTTGTTATCTATTATATTGATTTTTCATCCCAGCTCTGGTAACCTTACATCTGGGCGGCAGCTTGCCTTATACAGAACTGATCCGGCTGCATTGTGGTATGGGTGTTGACATATATTCCTCCAAGGAGGGATTCTTAAAAAAATAGAGGTGTCTTTGTCAGCAGCTGTATCTAGCACTACTGGGTTATTTGGAGCCCCAGGGAATGGACCAAAGTGCAACCTCAGAAAATTGGAATATGGAACAATGGACTTGACTTCTTTTCTGCTCTTAAATAAATTGCCCCCTGAGTTAGCAGAGAGACTATAACAAAATTTTGGACTTTGCAAGCCTAACACTGAGAATTATGGTACAGAAGTATCTCCATGCCACACTCCCTCTTCAGAGCAGGGCACTGCTAGTTGTGCTTCCAATTTGTAACTATTCTGTGTATTGTTTTCAGAAGCCCAGATCCATATGCTTGTGATTGGCCTGGGTGGTGGCAGCCTTCCCCTCTTCCTTCATGACTACTTCTTGCAGTGCTCTGTTGATGTAGTGGAGATTGATTCTGCCATGCTGGAAGTGGCTACACGTTGGTTTGGTTTCTCACCAGGAGACAGACTCAAAATTCACATTGCAGATGGCTTAGTTTATGTTGCCAATCTTACAGCAAAAGGTAATGACTTCTTAGATCAATCAACGCCCAAGTCATGATTTATGGATGGTGCATCTCTTAGCGTTGTTTGTGTCCTTTGACTTTCTGACAGCAAGTATTTCAGAAGTCTTGAAAAAATCTGTATTGCTCTTACTCTTTTGTGTAATTAAAATGAGTTATTTTGAGCATGTAATGGTTCAAGAAGAAAAAAGTAAAACAACACCCTTCTATTCTGGATGTTTTAGCAGTTATATCTCTGTATATCAGAATTCCTGTAATACACGCTGTCTATGCGCTCTGTTATGCTATATATCAGGTACTGACACAAAAACTGTTTTATTTTCCTGCAAGAGACACAAAAGCCTTTAACTCTTGTAGTGTCAAAAATCTTTATTTAAATGTTGAGCGTTGAGAACCACAATGCTACCGTAGGTAGGTTATTTAACTCAAGAGCTTGCATTTGCAGTTAGGCTGTGCCCCAACTGATACATATACATATGAATGTGCTATAGAATCCACGTCTTGTTATGGAATAATGTCTCTATGCTTTTAGGGACAGAAGTAGAATGCTATGTGCAGGCCATTATTTATTGTCTTGTTGAGGAGTTGAATGCTTATAAAATAGATCTGTACTCTGGTCCAGCAAGACAATTCTGGTGTTAGATCATAAGGGAAAATTGTGGATATTGTTACAGATAATTTTAAAACAAATTGATGTCATACAGAATGAGATTCGGGGGAAATTAAAGTGGAGAAGCAACAGTGAGAGTTAAACTTCTTTTGATAATTTTTCCCCATTTTAAAAAGAAAAAGTTATCAACTGCAACAGTATTTGTATGAATCATAACTAGGATGGTAACAGTGTAGGTCAGAACATATGGTACTTTAGTGGGGAATGGGACAACTTGCTACTGCTAACTTGCTGCAGTCAACTCACCATGGCCAGCTCGCAATAGCCAACTCACTGCGGCATAACTTGCCATGGGACAACTCGCTGCAGGACAGTTTACCAATTCTATTTAACTATTTAAAATAAATAAAAATTATTTTAATTTTTGCCTTTCACATTTCATTCTGCCCCTCCTTCTACATCTTTTCTTTAATGATTTTATTCCACTAATTCTTTGATATTAGTATAACCCTTGTCCTGTGACGAGATGGCCATTGCGAGTTGGCTGTGGTGAGTTGGCCGTGGCAAGTTGTCATAGACTACTTCAGTGAACTATGACCTGAGTAACATAAGTATACTTAGCTTGTTTTTTCAAGTACTCGGCTAAAATAAATGATTATTGTACTTAGTTTGATATGACAACTTTTTTGATGTAAGCAATATGCATCTGCTTTCTAGATTAATTTGTAATGAATTAATTGGGGAAATGGATCATTTATTTTAAAGGGAGATGTTTTCCAGAGTGCTGCTCCCACTGTCCATAGCCGGGATCTCCACTTCAGATCTTGACAGTAACTGAGTGAGAGCTGACAAAACTCTCCCTGTTAAGGCACGCCTCCAATCCCATGATCCTCCAGTCTATCACTCAGTTACTGACAAGAGCTGAAGTGATTTTCAGAGCTGTGGTTTTTTTGAATATAACTTCCTTAATTTCTTCTACCTTTGCCTCTCTCCCTGTTTTCTTTTCATCGTTTAGGCATTTAGTTATTTTTGATTACCTTTTGGTTCGTGTTTTTTTCTCTGAACTCCTTACTGGCTGCTGATCGCGTGTGGTGAGTCTGTCTCCCGGGCCGCCCACGCTTTGCGGGTTGCAGCCGCCGGATTCCGACTTCGGGGCGGATCCAGCTCGATAATTTTGGCCGCAAGAAAGGGACGAGCGTGCAGGCTTGTCGGTCTCCCCGCTTTCCTCCAGGCTGTCGGCTGCAGCTTCGGGGTAGCGTCACGCTGACTGTGCGCTCCCCGCGTTCTCAGATTGCTGGGTGGCGGTCCCGATCAAGGCCCCTTCGGCGTGCAGGCTTGCCGCCAATTTGAAACGCCGGCGTTTGATCGCTTCGGAGGAGCGTCATCCTAGAGGTGCGCCCTCCGTTTCGGCCTCAATTCTACTGGCGAGGACAGCGCCACTGCGGCTGTCCCTCAGAGGCATGAGTTGGCAATTCGACCATTTCGGCCTGACGGCAGTAGCGGGTGCCATTTTGTGGACTGTCTTGGGGTGCCCGCCATTTTCCCTGGACTATTAGAGCCCGCCATTGCATCGGAGGCATAAGGGGCGGAGTTTGGTGCTTGCGGCAAGCCGTGGCTGCCTCTGGTCTGTGACGGGACCCTCTACTACAACATTTAATTTCTGGGACTGGCCCTTCGCCTCAGAGGCCTTTAAGGCTTTTCCTGCTGGAAGTTCTTTCTGTATATAGTTGCCTTGTTACAAAACAAAACAAAACAAAACAACAAAACAAAACAAAACAAAACAAAACAAAACAAAACAAATATAATAAAATAATAAAATAAAATAAATAAATAAATAAATAAATATAATAAAATAATAAAATAATAAAATAATAAAATAATAAAATAAAATAAAATAAAATAAAATAATAAAATAAATAAAATAAAATAATAAAATAAAATAAAAATAAATAAAATAATAAAATAAAATAAAATAAAATAAAATATAATAAATAATAAAATAAATAATAAAATAAAATAAATAAAATAAATAAAATAAAATAATAAAATAAAATAAATAAAAAAATAAAATAAAAAATAAAAATAAAATAAAATAATAAAATAAAATAAAATAAAAATCTCTATATATACATATTTAATAATAATAATTGCTTATAAATAGTTTTTTTTTTTAAAAAAAATTGCTGGCGACTGTGGACTGCATCTGGTGACCCAGGGCTATTCCACATACCTGCCGGTTCCGTGCCTTCCTTGGTTGGGCTTGGCAATTCCTAGTGGCATGGCGGACCACGCGCTCTCGTCCGACATTGAGCCTGACCATAGCCCACCACACAGTCCCGCTAAGCGGGCCAAGAAATCTTCCAGGAAGCAGTCCGCGTCTTCCAGCCGCACTTCACGGAAAACTAAAGTTTCCAAGGGCTTGGACAGAGATGCTCAGTGCCGCCATAACGCCCTTGAGAGACAGTGGGACAAAGCGAGATTGGCGGCTGTGGCAGAAGTGGGCCTTGGCACGAGTGCCACTCAACACACTGCTTCAGCTTCAGTTGCAGGGGACTCCTCGTCTTCAGGATCCCCAGCCTCATCTCCCGAACGGAATGCCCCTTCGGCTACTCAACAGGATCAGCATTTACACCTATCCAAAGGTGTGTCCCAGTCCTTGCCGGATGTTTCCAGAGCGGGACTGACCTCTTCGCAGAGGCCTTCTCGTCATCTACCTGAGGCCACGTTTACCCCTACTGCAGCTGGCCTTCGTGGTCCTGATGGGGCAATTCCTCCAGTGCCTGCTGACATGCAAGCCTTTTTCGCATCAGCATTCTCTTCGTTCCTGGCTGCCGGTCTTCATCAAGCATCTCAGGTTCCACCCCTTACTTCCACCGGGCAGCCTGTTCAACTGACTCATCAGGTTGCTTCGACCCAGGTCACCAGGAAGCCGTCCTCCTCTTCCTCCCGGGCTGACTCTGACCATAGTGAAGAATGCCCGGAGGACATCGAATTTTCGGATGATGAGGACTTACCACCGGACTCCCCAGCCTTCACGGGGTTGTTCCGCCCGTCGATGTTCAAATCGTTATTGCACAAGGCCCGTCTTACCACCAATTTGAGCTCCCCAGGCCTTGACCCGTCTGGCGCCTCCACATCCACGGGGCCCCATGATGCTTTGTTTCTGTCGGCTAAACCCGACAAAGAGGTGATCCCGTGCCCCCGCCTGTTTCTGGACGTGCTTCAATCTCCTTGGGGGAAGCCTGGCTCTCTGACATCGCCCAGCACCCTTGACAGGAAGCTGTACTGTGCTGCACCTGACTTAGAGGATCTCTTGGCCCTTCCCACCGTAGATCCTCCTGTGGCTTCCTTGGCCTCCAACTCCTTAGTCTCTACTGACCCTCTAGATGGTCTTAAGTCGGAGGACCGCAGAGCAGAACTGGCCTTTTGCAGGTCACATCAGGCGGTCGCCTGGGCGATCAGGACGGCGACCGCTACCTCTTTCTTTAATAGAGCCTCGCTGATATGGTTGAAACAACTCCAACAGAGGTTGCCTCCGGAAGAGACTAGATTACACCAGGACATAAATAAGATTGTGGCTGCCACCGAGTACTCGGCGGATGCTTCCCTGAATTCGGTGAAGTTCGCCTCCCGGGCCCTAGCGTCCACAGTCTCTTCCAGGCGTTTGTTCTGGCTTCGCAATTGGAAGGCCGACCTTAAGGCCAAATGGAGGTTGGCATCCGCTTCCTATAAGACGCCGAACCTGTTCGGGCCTGCCTTGGAACCGCTCCTGATAGAGAATCGTGACAAAAGAAAGATCCTTCCAACTTCGTACCGCCGTACCGAGAGGAGATACACTCCATACAGCCAGCGCCCGCCCTTTCGTTCCTTTCAAGGTTCGGGCGGCTCCTTCTCCCGCAGGTCCTCCTTCTCGGGCCTGGACCGGGCACAAGGACGGGATTCCTTTCGCGACCGGAGCAGGTTCCAGCCTCAAACTAAACGCCCCTTTCGTGGCTCCAACTACAGACAGTCGCGCAGAGACAAATGACTCGCTTCTTCCGGGTCCCATCGGCGGGAGACTTCAACTTTTCCATCGCCAATGGGCCCGTTCAACCAAGGACTCTTGGGTGCTACGCACCATTTCTTCAGGTCTCTCTATCGAATTTGTTGGAACCCTGCCGAGTTGCTTCGTTCCCTGCCCGGTACCATCATCTCTGGATCGTCACCACCTGATGCTGCAGGAAATTGCCCATCTGCTAAGCATAGAAGCGATAGAACCTGTTCCCTCGACCCAACGGGGATCAGGTTTCTATTCAACCTTTTTTCTCGTCCCCAAAAGCTCGGGGGGCTGGCGGGGTATCTTGAACTTAAAGCTCTTGAACCTGTCGATGGTGTATCACAGGTTCAAGAT